AATGCGCTTTGTTTTTCACGGTGAAGAGAAAACAGCATGATTTAGGTTCTAAGTATCAAAGAGAAGGAACAGGCAAGTCAGTCACGCAATGCACAGAAGTCACACCAATACTGAAGTGCATTGGAATGGAAAGCTTGGATGTTCAAAAATGCACATACGAGTGCAATATGAATGAATAAAACAGAATATGACAAAGATAACTACGAGGAAACAGTTTCTAATCGTACATATAAGAGGCTGTGTTTGAAGTAAGTAAATCATTCGTTTTCCTTATATCTATGTATATGCCTATTTATCTATCTTTCTATTTATTTATCTATATCTATATACGGGGATTGTTTTGTTTTTTTCTTTCCTTCTTTCTTTTTTATTACCTCCTATTTCTGAAAAAGTCCATATGATTACTAAATGAGATGGCAAGGGAAGAAATGCGAATGTTTCACATGTCAGCATTTATCTTAAAGAGCGAAAGGCATAATTTACAATAAATAAAACTGCTTTTGAATCTCGGACAGGGAAAGGAGGCAGGCGCTGAAGTGCAGCTACAGCGGAGGCAGCGGAAGCGGCGCTCAAGCGGCGTCTCCGAAACGAGCGGGAACGAGCCTGAGGAACGACAGGTCGAGACAACGATGAAGTTGTGGCGAAGGAGTCAAGGGGCTTGGAGTGAGGTGGAGAGGCTTGGAAAAGGGGAAGGCGAACGGCAGGTGTTTGTTGGTATCACAGGCGAAGGAGGAAGGCTTGGTGCTTAGGCGTAGGCGGGAGGGGGAGGGGCGTAGGCGGCGGGCTTGGCTGCAGGGTAGGAGGCCTCGCCCTCGTAGGCGACGTTAGCGACGTATCCGCTGTGGTGGTCGGCGGTGAAGGTGACGATCTGGGTGCGACCGTCGGGGAGGAGGACGCGGTAGGATCCCGAGGTGACCTTGCCGTCGCTGGTCTCGTCGTGGGCGAAGTCGTTGCCGGTGTAGTCGTCCTTGACGGCGTAGGCGAAGTCGAAGGGCATGCCAGGCTCCTTGTAGGCGGGGGGGCCGTAGGAAGGAGGGGCATCGGGGCGGGGGGCGGCGCAGGCCACAGCCACGAGGGCGAACAGGACGAAGAGCTGCAAAACGGAAATGTGAATGAACACAGGGTCGGGCGGCTGCGTCTTCCTTGAGGAGAGAGAGGCGGGGAAGGAGGAAGAGAGAGAGAGAGAGGAAAGGGGAAAGGGGAGTGGGAGGGGGAGAAAGAAGGGTAAGGAGAGGGAGGGAGATAGATACGTCGACAGACAGATAGATAATGTGAGAGAGAGAGGAGAAAGTGAAACAGAAGAGAAGAGAGAGAGGAGACAGTGAGACAGTAGAGAGTGAGACAGAGAAGAAAGTGAGATGAGAAAGTGACAGAGAAAGAGAGAGAGAGGGGGAGGGAGAGAGAGGAGACAGTGAGACAGGAGAGAGTGAGACAGAGAAGAAAGAGAGACAGATGAGAAAGTGACAGAGAGAGATGATAGTATAAAGGTAAATGAATGACAGGGGAAGAAAGGTAATGGAGAATGGTAAGCTGAAATCACTAAATTATGAAGAATAGTAACGGTGAACAAACAATCCCTCGCTGGGCTATCGGTTTTGATGCATTTACAGAACAAAAAGAAACTGTTTTCTCATGGACTCCGCATCTAAGCACAGTTCAGGTGAATTGTTGATCGAGATTATTCACTCACAAACAGGGATACAGCGGGTGCCATTGATGCGGCAACCATTTCGCTATAGCTTATCGTTCATATGCAAAACCCTCACTGAGCTTTGATTTGAGTTTTGAGTCTATAAAACACAACTGTTCCTCCGCCACGAAGGAAGCCAGCCTACCTTGGCAGACATGGTGTATGGGAGGGAGCGTCGAAGAGTGCTGCTGAAGGGAGGGAACGTCGCGTTATATACGCCTCCAGTCTGGTCGTTGCGTCACCCCTCGCTGGGCTGCTGAAAGCCGAAGGTGAAATTAGGTGGCCGATAGTGTTTCTGATGTTGGAATTATTGGTATTGATATGGCGATTAATCCAGATGAATCAGATCGCCTACTAAATGAACCGACTATTTATATTGTAAAAATGCATCATCCTGTTCATTTATAGTTTAAACTCACCTTAAAAACACGTTTCCTTTCAGATATATTTTGTATGATTACCGTTTCATATTGTATGCTGCTTTTATTGAGGTACCAGTCCTTAAGACAGAAGTTTTCCATAGCTTTAAATATGTTCAAAAAATGTCTTTATTCCACCTTGCTGTTTTTCAGACGAAGTTTCTCCGCACATGATGCGGAAAGTAACATAAGAAAGTCATGAAGAACTGAAATTGCATAGTTACAAGCTACAAGAGGACCTCTGACTTCATTCTTTCATTTTTGTTCCTAATTTGCTCAAATTAAATCCTGGTAACACTTTCAGTTTCAAGACTACTACAGTAGATATGTTTTGATATGTATTTATTTCTGATGAGTTTAGTCTTAATCGTCAAATTTCAGCTATATTTCTAAATTTCATTTACCTACGTAAGTTACAATATCCTCCTATAGTTCTACTGCGCTTGATATGATGTAATTGAACAAATTTAATGTGGCTGACAAATTCCGCATCGATCTAATGCTGCTGATGGGCTTCGAGAATAGAGATATTTTGTGAACCTATATTCCCTTACTTGCCTCTCTTGTAGGGCTCTCTCTTCAGTGCGATTCACAATGAAAACAGAGCCGATAGGAAATTTATGTTTATGATAATTCATGCAGACTTGTGTTTTTGGCGTTGGTGAAAGTCAGCTTCTCGGATTTTTTCTGTTTACTCTCTGTAAATTGCACGTTATGTAAGAGAACTTGAAGCAGAAAATGAAAGAATTTTGTCTATCATTTTCCGTCTAGATAAAAGTTATACATTCATTCATATTCACACTGCCGCTATTGATCACGATGATGTAATTAAGGTTTCTGCAACGGCCTTTACTAACAAATGAAAGGCGATGGAAATACAACGGTTATTATCAAAAGGGATTTTGATTCTTCTAAGTAACAGTCTGTATACTGTAGAAGCGATTTTTCAGAAGTAAAGTGTCCAGGAATGTATGGCTTAGGATACGCAAACAATAAAGGCAAAAGGTCCTTAGAATTGATGAAGTAAATATAAGAACTGGAAACAACAGTTTTTAAAAGAGGAGGGAATAGCAAGTGATCCAAGTATAACTGATAACAATCAGGGCACGAAGCTGACTACTTTTGAGTAGATATGAAAGACAGAATAACTGACAACGCTTCAACTGACAAAGCGAATACTGGACGCGAGTGCAGGCTATTAAAATGCAAGTTGCAAGCCAGCACAAAATTTGGGAGAGCGAAGAAAGACAACAATACCTTCCGGCTGAAATCACAAAATCGCTTCGAAGAATTAAACAAGGAGAGGAGTGGCACGAATGGGATCGACCGCTGGAACAAGAAACTAAAGTCAGATCAACGGCAAGAGGAGACGGGGCAAATGCAAGAGGCAGGTTCAACTTGTGTCAACAGTGCAACATGCAATGAGAGGGAAAAGGAGAAGAGGTATACATATATCCAGAATTGACATGGAACCATGTAAAAGATAATGAAGCCATAAAGATACCCATGACATTACCTAATTTGACAATAAGCAAAAAGATGGATGAGCTGGAGAATCCCAAATATCGTTAATGTAAACAATAAACTCACATGAAACTGATGATACTCATGACGAACTAAAGAGGATTAAAGAAATTTACTGAGCAGTGTACTCAACTGAGAGGAACATAAAGAACAGAAGCAAGAGGAAACCTCGTCAAGTTTTCACTTGTCAACTTGAAACCGTTTCCATTACTTAGCATGGCATATGACTATTAGCAAATAAGATGGGAAGCTCAAGGTCTTGATGGCGTGGATCTTAAAGTTGTCAGAGTTGCTGGAACGCCTTTCATCACGGACCTGGCTGGTTAGTATCGTTAAAGTTCGCCAGTTACGACATGCTTTAGCGATGTAAAGAGGAGACTTAAAAGATCTAAATTACTGCAGACGTTTTAGTTCGTTAACACGATTGCTTTACATCAAGAAATGAAAGGAAGTTAGCAAGAAAATATCCTAACTGAATAAACAGACAAAATTACGATATATATTCAAATTGAGATTTTGCTTTTTTGAGAGAAGCCTTTGATTACTTGAAATAGATAACTCGAAAGCTTTGTCAAACAAAGGAATTGACAAAACAGATATGTTATGACTCCAGAAACTACAAATGAAACTACGAAAAATACACACACATACATACATACATATAAATATATGTTGTATATATGTGTATATATCGACGACCACCTTCAGTCGATGTCGACAATGGCATTATTGTATAAGCAGAGTCAATGCCTGGGCGAAAGAATGTGAGGAGAAAGCTGTTGCCCACATAGCATGCTCCCTTTCCATGCACCTGATGGATCCAAAGGAACGGCAAAGACCGATACGGTTTGGCACCAGCGGCGTCGCAGGAGTTGCCAGAACGAGGTCGCAAGCGACGGTGAACTGCCCTCGGGACTCCGGCTGTGTGTGTGTATATGTGTGTGTGTTTGCGTGTGTATACTTATATATATGCATATATATATATATGTTGTATATATATCTGCATGAATGTGTGCATATATATATGTCTGTGTGCATGTGTGTATATACATATATATATGCATATATATGTAATTATATGTGTGTGAGTGTGTGTGTATGTGTGTTTGCGTGTGTGTGTTTGTTTACACATACATATTTATGCATACACACAAACATGTGTCTGTGTATGTATGTATGTATATATGTATAAAATAGATATGCACACGCACGCGTGCGCGCGCGTGTGTATGTATATATTAGGTTAGATGTGTGAGTGTCTCTGTGTTCACACAGACACATTTATATATGTAACAGGTTATATGATAATAAAAGGGGGAATATCACATATGTCAGCATTTATCTTAAAGAGCGAAAAGCATAATTTACAATAAATAAAACTGCTTTTAACTATCGGACAGGAAAAGGAGGCAGGTGCTGAAGCGCAGCCGCAGCGGAGGCAGCGACAGCGGCGCTCAAGCGGCGTCTCCGAAACGAGCGGGAACGAGCCTGAGGAACGACAGGTCGAGACAACAAAAGGGGAAGGCGAACGGCAGGTGTTTGTTGGTATCACAGGCGAAGGAGGAAGGCTTGGTGCTTAGGCGTAGGCGGGAGGGGGAGGGGCGTAGGCGGCGGGCTTGGCTGCAGGGTAGGAGGCCTCGCCCTCGTAGGCGACGTTAGCGACGTATCCGCTGTGGTGGTCGGCGGTGAAGGTGACGATCTGGGTGCGACCGTCGGGGAGGAGGACGCGGTAGGATCCCGAGGTGACCTTGCCGTCGCTGGTCTCGTCGTGGGCGAAGTCGTTGCCGGTGTAGTCGTCCTTGACGGCGTAGGCGAAGTCGAAGGGCATGCCAGGCTCCTTGTAGGCGGGGGGGCCGTAGGAAGGAGGGGCATCGGGGCGGGGGGCGGCGCAGGCCACAGCCACGAGGGCGAACAGGACGAAGAGCTGCAAAACGGAAATGTGAATGAACACAGGGTCGGGCGGCTGCGTCCTTCTTGAGAGAGAGGACAGAGAGATCAGAAGAACGAGAAGGAAAAGAAAGGGTGAGGGAGAGTGGGAGGGAAGAAGTGAGAAAGAGAGTGAAGTGAGAGAGAGAAACAGGAGAGTGATAGATGAAGATGAAATAATCAGAATGAATAAGGGAGGATGGGGGGAAGTAGACCGAAAAAGCAATAGCTCAGAGACCTGGAATAGCTTAGTTATGAGTAATAAAGATCAGCACTGCCTGCTTTTCATAGATCTGACATCCTTCCTTGAGGAGAGAGTGGTGGGTAAGGAGGAAAGGAGAGAGGGAGAGCAAAGGGGGGAAGGGAGTGGGAGGGGGAGAAAGAAAGGTAAGGAGAGAGAGGGAGAAAGAGAGACACAGAGAGAGAAAGAGAGAAAAGGAGACAGTGACAGAGGCAGAGGGAGAAAAGAGAAAGCGGAAAAGCGTGGGAGAGAGAGGAGCGTAGGAAGGAGGGAAGGAAGGAGGGATGGTAAGAGTGACAGAGAGGAAGAGAGAGGAATGAGAGACAAAGGGGTATGGGGAAAGGGAAAAAGAGCAAAACAGCACGGGAAGTTGATGTATCGGTTACGAATTATAATGGCATAAGAGGTACTATTCTCAGTGTATTCACGGAACAAAAAGAGACAGGCTGCTTTCTCATGGTCATACCTATCAGTACACATTTTGTTTAAGTTCTGGTCTAGATGCTACAGTTGTGAACGAATATTGTTGTGTTAACCTGGTGTCACTGTTACGGCAATAGGTAAATTCTTTGTGCTTTTAACTAACCCTAGATTTTATATTGTTTGCAGAGGAACTCCTCTTCATGAGGGAAACCAGCCTACCTTGACAGACATGTTGTAAGGGTGGGACGGCGGATAGTGCTGTCGAGGGGAGGGAACGCCGCATTATATACACTGCGACGGGACCGAACCACCCAGCTGCTGGAACCGCCGAAGGTGAAACCATTAACTACCCGGGAAGGCCATTACTGCTCCCCGTATAATAGGTGTTCAGTTGATTAGACCATCCGAATTTGACTCCTGGCGAAATTAATGTGGATGGTATGTAATGCTAGTTTTTTTGTTTTTTTTTGAGGGGGGGGGGGGGGCGAAAAAAAACACCTATAAGGCTAAACTGCCATTTTGTCGGAAAATTTCTGTACTTGTCGGAAAAATAACGATGGTTTTCTGCTTCGTTTAGTTCTAGTGCCCTTATGTTATGTTCAAGATAATAAAAAATGAGAATTAGTGTCAAATTTTTGTCGGGATATCTTCATTTCTCGCCCCCTCTATGAATTTTCCTATCTACGCCCCTGCCCAAAATTGCCCGAATTCAACCAGCATTTACCCGACTGGGGGGGCTGCAGCCCCCCCAGCCCCCCTTGCTCCTACGCCTATGTATATATGTATGTGTATATGTATATACATATATATATGTGTATATGTATATACATATATATATGTGTATATATGCAAAAACATATATATATATATTGATAGATGGGTAGATAGATATGTATAAACACACACAAACGAGGAGTCTCGATTCGATTCGCCGCCCGTGAATGACTCCGCCTTCACGCTAAGGGGAATAAATCCGTTCCAATGTAAAATCATGTCACTCATGAATATGGTAAACGATACATTTTCCTCCCGAAATCGAAGTGATCGTTGCATTGCTCCATTGCTGGGAAACGATCAGGCTGCGCGGTTCATCAGAGAACCATGGGCCCCTCTTCCCTCTCTCCCTCCTCTCTCTTTTTCATTTTATGTATACATACATACATAATGTATGCATATATATATGATATACATATCATATATGCACATATATATAACATACATCCCTCCTTGTTTCCCAGTAAGTTAGGGCAAACCCTTCGTTCTTCTGGCCATTCAGTGCATCCGCTCGAACCCTTTTCCATCCAGGCGCAATGACCGCTCGATCGGCAGCCAAGTTGTTACGGGGCGGAAACGCGAGTCGTAATTCGCTGATCGGACCACGGCGTTCAGGAGAGCAGAAAAAGGGAAAGGACGATCCTGGTGACTGGGACTCTTTGTGGGAGGCGCGTCTCCACCGCCTCACGAGCTGGCCGCGCCATTTCGTCATTTGGGGCGACGCTCCTCAGACCGGCCCGCTGGACACTGGCGCGAGGGGGGCTTGTCAGAGCACGCGCTCTTTCTTTCTCTCTCAAGTACATTCATATATATCCGCATGCGTGTGTGTGTATATATATATATAGATATGTATGTATATATATAATATATATACATATAAATATATATGTATATACATATACATATATATATACACACATTTACATATATATCTATATATACATACATATATATATATATATATATATACATACATATATATCTATATATGTATACAGAGATATGCATCTATATATACATACAGATATATATATATATATATATATATATATATATATATATATATATATATTCACATATGCATATACATGAGTATATATACATATATATATATGAATATATGTATACATATTCATACAAAAAATTTATATACATATATGTGTATATATAGAAATATATATATATACATATATGATAAAATGATAACACACATATATATATGTGTGTGTGTATGTTTGTGTATATATGTATACACACATAGATGCATATGTAGATGCCAATGATATACATGACTTAAATAATATATATAATTTTTATCATCATTATCATTATTATTGTTTGCATCATTTTTATTTGTTAACATTATCCTTATTTTTACTGTTAACACTATCATTATTTTTGCTAGCATTATCATTATTAACATTTCAATCATTATCATATTATCATTCAAACATTATCATCATTATCGTTTTCATCACTATCATTACTGTTAATATTACTATTATTTTATTTTATATTTCATCAATATCATTAGCATTATTATTATCATTATTGTTATTGTTATTATTATTGTTATCATTATTACTATCATTATCATTATAATTATCATCAAAATAGTTATATTTTGTTATCTTAATCATTATATCTATTATCATTATTATCATTTTCATCATTATTGTCGTTACTTTATTATTACTATTACTATTATCAGTATCATTATTGTTCACATTGTCATTATCCTCATTATCATTCTCATCATCGTGATAGCTGTTACTGTAACTTTCAAAGGTTCTGAAAAATGCGCTTTGTTTTTCACGGTGAAGAGAAAACAGCATGATTTAGGTTCTAAGTATCAAAGAGAAGGAACAGGCAAGTCAGTCACGCAATGCACAGAAGTCACACCAATACTGAAGTGCATTGGAATGGAAAGCTTGGATGTTCAAAAATGCACATACGAGTGCAATATGAATGAATAAAACAGAATATGACAAAGATAACTACGAGGAAACAGTTTCTAATCGTACATATAAGAGGCTGTGTTTGAAGTAAGTAAATCATTCGTTTTCCTTATATCTATGTATATGCCTATTTATCTATCTTTCTATTTATTTATCTATATCTATATACGGGGATTGTTTTGTTTTTTTCTTTCCTTCTTTCTTTTTTATTACCTCCTATTTCTGAAAAAGTCCATATGATTACTAAATGAGATGGCAAGGGAAGAAATGCGAATGTTTCACATGTCAGCATTTATCTTAAAGAGCGAAAGGCATAATTTACAATAAATAAAACTGCTTTTGAATCTCAGGGAAAGGAGGCAGGCGCTGAAGTGCAGCTGCAGCGGAGGCAGCGGAAGCGGCGCTCAAGCGGCGTCTCCGAAACGAGCGGGAACGAGCCTGAGGAACGACAGGTCGAGACAACGATGAAGTTGTGGCGAAGGAGTCAAGGGGCTTGGAGTGAGGTGGAGAGGCTTGGAAAAGGGGAAGGCGAACGGCAGGTGTTTGTTGGTATCACAGGCGAAGGAGGAAGGCTTGGTGCTTAGGCGTAGGCGGGAGGGGGAGGGGCGTAGGCGGCGGGCTTGGCTGCAGGGTAGGAGGCCTCGCCCTCGTAGGCGACGTTAGCGACGTATCCGCTGTGGTGGTCGGCGGTGAAGGTGACGATCTGGGTGCGACCGTCGGGGAGGAGGACGCGGTAGGATCCCGAGGTGACCTTGCCGTCGCTGGTCTCGTCGTGGGCGAAGTCGTTGCCGGTGTAGTCGTCCTTGACGGCGTAGGCGAAGTCGAAGGGCATGCCAGGCTCCTTGTAGGCGGGGGGGCCGTAGGAAGGAGGGGCATCGGGGCGGGGGGCGGCGCAGGCCACAGCCACGAGGGCGAACAGGACGAAGAGCTGAAATAAAAACTTCAGGCTTAAAAGTAATATTCTAGTAATACAGCTATACAGAACGATAAGCAAAGTGGCTAGCGCTGGAAGTATGTAGCAACAACGCCAGAACTCTAATTCAACCGCTTCGAGACCACTTTCGCTAATGGCAGAGGTCCTCTTGCAAAACCGGGTCCATGACGTACGAGAACCTTACCTTGACTGACATTGTAAGCGGCGAGCTGCGGAGAGAGTACTGAGCGACGAGGGAAGACGCCGCTTTATATATGCTTTGGAAACCACATTCTCCTTTCGGTGATTTCACTGGCGGCCGCTGTGGTTGGCAAAACGCTGCTCACGAAAACCACGTAGAACCGAGCAAGTGAAGACGGTGCAGAGTAGGGCATTTACCCCCCCCCCCCTCCCTACATTTTTCGATGCGGTCATGACACCGACCAAAGATTAAGGAGCTAACATTTAAACTTGAAACAAAAAGAACAGTCTTATATCGCTTTTGTAATGCTTCATTCACACTTTTTTGCAAACTACCGCAAATAGAAAACGAAAGTGATACTATTGCACAACGAGAATTCAAAACAAATTGTCCTTGGTGAAAGACTGTCATGTAATGTTATCTTCACTGATTCAGCATTACTTCAGAGATTTCAATGAGCCACAGGTAGTTATCTTAGTAACT